TTATTACACCTGGTCTTATTCAGGACCCAATAAACACATTGTAGGTACCAAGTCTTACTAGCAGACCTGAAACTCACTTGAGCTACACTACTTATAAAACCATCCTACCTTCTCCTTTCAATTTTACTGTTCTGTATTTTGTTGTCTACATACACATTTTTCAGGGATATTTATATTTTTGTTTTGTCTTTTCTTTTTTTAATGATCATTTGTTTATTTTATTTTTTTCTAGGCTAACAGGGTAAAAGCTGATTCTAAAATGCTCTTAGAAAAGAACAAAGACTTGATGGATAGAGTAAACAACCAGTCCAACATTGTAAATGACCTTCTGAAACAAGGAAATGACTTGAATCAAGTGAGTTCATTGGTCCACTACCAGAATCTATCTAGATGCTATTTCACTTTACCATCATGAGCATAAAAATTTGTATTGCCAAACTTTGGACATTTTAAAATGAATGAATCCAAATTAGTGTGCTTTAGTTTGTTTTTGTTTTTGATTGTTGAACTTAAGATGAGTGATTGAGGCTCATGTGTAGAGATATTAATAGAATCTTTCTGTCCTTGACAAACTACTAATCATTGAACTTATTTTTCAGGTTGTTGCTGAGTATCTAGCAGAGGTGGATGGGGCTAAAGCTATGGCTGTGAAAGCAATGAAATGGGCTGAAGATACATTGAAGGAGGCCAATGAGACTCTACAGACCCTAGAAGGTTAGATGTTTGTTCTATTCTTGCTTACAAAAATATACACTTAAAGCTTTTGTTAGCCTCATATGTTTGATGATAATGATAAAAGGTAAATGATTGTATAGCTCAGGCTTTGAGTTGGACATTTAAACAAGGTACAATGGGCCTCAATAGCAAGTATTTCATTGCTTATAAGCTTTATTTATCAGGACACATAAAATGTACTGAAGACAGAGTGCAATGTTACAATCATCCATATTTATAAATAAAAGGCCTGGCTCACTGACTGGTCACTAATTCTCCCACTTTATCCAAAAATGTGATTTTGTACCTTTTTTCTTCACTATGATGTTTCTAAAATGTTAAACATATTTTATTTTAGATGTTTCTTTAGATAAGACAATTATACCCTAGCCCAATCCTATGGGGGGTGACAGCGGACAGTTTTCAAACCCAGGACCCCTGAACAACAATTCATAATGCATATCAGACAACCAAGCAGCCATCCTTAGAATGAATAACTAAGCTTTTTTTTTTTTTGTGTTCAATGACACACTGAGTGTGCAATGTCCTGTTATAGATTAAGGTTTAAGATATAGAATTGATGAGAAAGTCATAGTTTGTTGTATGCTCAATGTCCTGTTATAGATAAGGGCTAAGATATAGAATTGATGAGACAAAGTTATAATTTGTTGTGTGTTCAATGTCTTGTTCTAAATAAGGGCTAAGATATAGAATAGATGAGCCAAAGTCATATTTTGTTGTGTGTTCAATGTCCTGTTATAGATAAGGGCTAAGATATAGAATTGATGAGCCAAAGTCATAGTTTGTTGTGCATGTGTTGGGGGGAAGGGCTTTTATTATTTAAAAAAAAAAATTCTCTCAAAATTGACTGAAAAGTCATTTGTGATCTTATCTAACACACTTCATTGTTGGCTTGATAAGAAAAAAAAATGTTTGTGTAAAATGCAAAAACTTTAAACTATTTTACCACCATTTGATGCATTTTTCACTGATGTGAGAATATTTTTACACAGAGTTTAATAAGCTGATTGAGAACAAAGAAGCAGCAGAAAATGCTTTAAAACAGGTGGATGCTATTAAAGCTAAAATGGATGATTCCAATAGAATGACCAATGAGGCCAAAGATACATTGCTTCAAGTAGAACAGGATGTAGACAATGCTTGGACAACTGTGCAGAGTGCTAACAGGACAATTCATGATGCTCAGCAGGTTGTTGTTTTTTTTTTTGTTTTTTCCAACTATTACAGAAGTATCACCATTTGTTGTGCATCTTAAATTTAAGTTATCTTAAGGTTTTCTAGATATATTAAAGTCATTTGATAGTAATAGGAACACTAAGTCAAAACTTGTCTAGGATATCCCTTGGCATCCCTCTTGGCTTAATCATTAGAGAGATGATTGAACTGTTCTATAAACTTTGACATTTAATCTCTTCAGAATGCACAGAACCTAAAAAAGAAAACAGGAGAGACTAAAACTAAATCCAATGAACTCAACAAGATGGCAGAAGAATTATCTGTACAGCAGCAATCTGCCAATGTCAAATTGGATGAACTAGAAATGCAAGTCAAAGAAGATCAAACTCAGGCCAATAATGTAAGTCATTAGTATTCCATTATTGGCTGCTCAGGACCAACTTTATCCTGCAGCATAAGGTTGACTAGCAAACATTCTATAGTTTAGAATCCTGTTCTTTTTATTGAGATTTTTTTCCTAGGTTTTAAGACAACTTCTCATGGTGACTAACATCAGTTACACAATTCTTTGTGCTCCTGGTATCTTTGCGAAAACTTTTTGTCACTAAACAAAATGAACTCAGCTGAACATTTTTTTTAGTGCAAGAACTGTTGTTTTTTTTAGTAAAAAAAAAATATCACCATTTAAATATTGAAATAATGGCATTTCAAATTCATATTTGTTATGATAGCTTATTCAATTGAGACTACACTTGTGAGACTTAGTTATTCTTTTTACTTTCAATATGCACTTTAAAAAAATGTATAACCTTATACATTTAGTTTTTATGTATTTGTATGTGACTCTTGTAAGACTTGTCAGTGTGCACTCTTTAAAAATAGAGTGTAGATTTAATTTATTGATCTATAGAAAATCCACTTCAACAGTTTGTTTAATATATTGAATGTTGCCACAATATGCTATTTTAAATTTAAAGAAGTTTCACAATATGTTAGATGTAAGTTAAAGAAGCTTCACAATATGTTACATGTAAGTTAAAGACGTTGACAGATCTCTAGAATGAGATTATTAGAGATTAAAAGACAAAATAACTTTATAAAAATCTTCTTCAATCTGACATAGTTTTTGTTTTTTTAGCAATTTTGATGGAAACTTGGTTCAGCTTTTATTTCTCAATTTGCATAACTTTTATATAGACATTCAACCTGTTTGCACACAATCTTTTGTGCAATTTTAAAAATAAACTGTAGTTCATGAGAATTTTAAACATTTAAATTTTAAAAATTATATCCGTATTCCATTTAAAAATGTTTGTTTCCAATAATGGTTGAAACAAGCATATTTCAAATATTTAGTTTCAAATTTCTGAAAGTTATAAGTATGAATATACTACATTGAAATACAAATATTTTAGCTCATTTTTAACATTATATCTTATAATCAACATTGCCAACTTCTCTTTGCTTTCAGTAGTTTTACTATATTTCTGTCTAGTTGCTCATTGGGCCTTACATTTTACAAATAAATATTGTATCATTTCATAAAATGCATAAGTTGCATTTTATTGCATGATGTTCATATCTTTTATCTTTTTGGTCGCCAATGTTTTCGTCTGTCTTTAATCACCTATTATTTGTATTATGTTGATACAGGCTTTGAAAGAATCAGACGAAGTAAACCAAAAGGCAGAAGATGCCTTTAAGCAAATTTCCGCAGCTCATGATTTGATTTTGTCCATCAACCATCAACTGGGGGAAATAGGTGAAATAGATATAAATCAGCTGAATTATTTAGAGAAACTTTTGGAGGAGGTTAGTGTGACCTTTATAGTTCACTTCTATCACTATTTTCCAGCTGTCTAAATATCAACTCAGACTCAACATGCTCGTTTTAGACATTTTGTTTTTCATTTTTACAATAATCATTTGTATTCTTTAAGTGTGCAAAAAAAGATTGAATGCCTTGCATTGTTCTTACAATAGCTTCACTTTCTTTATTATTGTATCCCGAGTATAGTTCATTTGTTTAACTCTATGAGAAAAAACATTTTTATAAACAAGTACTTAATAACATTTAAAATATTACAAAATCTGCAAAAGTTCTTTTGCTCCATTAGCTTTTCATTGTTTACAAATGTTTTTTTTTTATTTATTTCATATCTTATAGAGTTAAGTTTTCTCTACTGTTAAATGAGGTGATGTAAGATTAGCCTGTTTGAATCAGGTGATGTAAGGTTAGCTTGTTTGGATCAGGTGATGTAAGGTTAGCTTGTTTGGATCAGGTGATGTAAGGTTAGCCTGTTTGAATCAGTTGATGTAAGGTTAGCCTGTTTGGATCAGGTAATGGATGTAAGGTTAGCCTGTTTGAATCATGTGATAGATGTAAGGTTAGCCTGTTTGAATCAAGGGATATAAAATTAGCCTATTTTAATCAGGGGATATAAGGTTAGCCTGTTTCTATGAATAATGCGGGTATCATTTTACCCACGATTTCAAGAGGTGAAAACAGGGACTTCCTAAAAACCTGAAACAGATTTCTTAGTCTTTACCTGGACACATTATACACCTTTAAGATTAAAATAAATGAAATGAATTGGCAGTTATAAATGAAATGAATTACCAAATATTATTGATTTCTTATAGATTCTCTTTGTTGTATCTTTAGGCTGAGAAGAAATTCAACGAGTCTAACATTGATGTTGAGATGACCAGACTGCTCCAGAAGACTGAAATCCTGGACAACCAGGCAAAGCAGTATGACCTGAACATTGCAGAGCTTCGCAAGGCTGTTGAAAATGTTGGAGAGATCAGTGCTTCTCTCCCAGATGGCTGTTTTAAAAACATTGCTTTAGAGACTGGTGTGTAACATGAAGATAGACATGTATTCCATCAAACCAAAAGTTTAGCTATTATTCATTGCTATACAGTGTCTGTGTATATACCATACGATATTTGTGTAAATGGTTCAAGTGTATTTATACAATGTATAATAAGATGGGTAATTATATTGTTTGCCACAATGTATGTCACTGCAATGATAGCTTCAAGTCTAGTTTCTAATACAAACTAAAATTTTAGTTCATTAAAGAGAAAACAAAAAAAAAAAAAGATTTAATCTTTAATTTACACAATATTTTAAAATAGTCTCACTTTTTATCTGAACATAATCTTAATTGTTCTAATTTTTAGTGTATACTGTTTAATCTTTAGTGTATACCAAAGTGTTAGCTCATTAGGTATCAGCCATGATTTATGGAACAAATGTTAGTAATCATTGATTTATGTAGGTTTCATTAGTTTCATTATTATTCGTAATTCATACTAATAAAAAGAACAAGATCAATGACATTCATAGCAATCTGGAATTCAAACAACTTTGAACAAATTCCACATCATTGTGTTCTCCGAATCAATTTATTAAGTTCTGTCCTATTCAGAAGCAATCTCAAACTCTAGCTTGCTTAGATAGTACTATATAGGAGTTTGTGTTTATCATTGGGCATATAGTTCTCCACAATCAAGCCAGTAATTCTTTTTTTTTTCATTTGTTTTTTTTTTTTTGTTAATGTGGTACACATTATGTGTTGAACATGTATTGCATGTGTATCCATGGCTTACATCCTTCTGTGCTATTATGTTTGACTTTACTATTACTTATCTGTGTACATGTTGATGTAAAGGTACACTCTGTGTTATATAAAGTTATGAATGTTGAACTTTTTACTGTATAACATGCATATGTGTATGTTTTAGTTAGCTGATTTACCAATCTATCGAAACTGGTTGATTTCTTTGTTTGGTTTCTCTTGTTTCATAGTCAAATATTAATTGTGGGTAACACAAAAGATATGCACTTTCATCATCTGTTAGAGATAAGTTGACCATCTATGTAGTATTGTTTTGTGTACCAAATGTATGGCTGTAGTATTGTTTTAATTGTGTACCAAATATATGACTGTATTCTGTACTTAATATATAGGCATGTAACACTTAACTCCTTACATGTATTCATGTTTTGTATGGCAACATTTCATTATCTATACCCTTGGAGTGTTTGATATTTATGTAGATAATGTGAAACAAAAACTGCTCAATATTAAAGCTATTCCAGTAAGGTCACTGGGCTAGACAAGAAGTAAATATATGTCTCCTTAACTTCTTGAGGTTTAGAAGATTGAATACGACGAGTCTAGGTAAAATGGCAGTCAGATGCTTTGAACTGACAAATTCTAGTCAAAGCTTTTGATATGTGAACATATTTTGTAAATTTTTTTTTATTTTTTTTTTTGTTGGTTCTGGTTTTTTAAAAAATTTGACCTTAAAAACAACCAGCAAGTCCAGAGATCCAGATAGTGATTTTATGGACTAGTTTCATTGAGTTGCTAGCAATGATAGAAATCCAATGTGTTGTCTTGGTGACCAACTACTGCTCATGGTAGACTGTACATAAACCTGTAGCCAGTTATAAAGAAGGAAAATGCATAATCATATGTTGTAGTCATTTTATTGAGTGTGTGCCTGTGGGTCAATTGGATTTCATTCATCAAACTTTTGTTATAGATTCACTTTCAATTATATACATGGCTATTTAAACATATAACTAATTTTTATATACATATACATTGTAATATATTTTTATATTGTGCATGCCTTTTTTATACCAAAATATAGCTCTATATTTGAAAGGCCTGATTTTGTTTGACTTGAAAATTTTACTTTTGTAGATTTTGGTGCAATGTTATATTTTAGTTGTGTATTTGAACAATTAAGTGATATTTCAAATGAAATCACAATATGAAGGTCATAATTTTCTGCTGAATTTTCATAAATCAATATAGTGAATTCTAAAGCTTTAATGGCTGCCTATGCTATATTTGGTCTTCATATTAGAAGCTAATATTGTTATTATAATACTATGAAAGGTTAATTAAAAAAAATAAAAAGAGAAGTAACCTTTGATCTAAGCATTACTGGCCTGAGCATAGAGACTAGAAATGTCTCTAGGTCTTTAATATCCAAATTAAAATGGTGAGAGTCTAGTTAATAATAAATTTCAATGTAAAAATGTTAGACTGGGCCATTTTGGAATAGTAATATGTTTACCTAGCTTATATCAAGTCACTCTTGTGTGCTCAAAGTTTTGTTTCTCACTTTCTATTCTCAGTTAATGTTTAATAACATTTCATAATTATTCAATAACAAAATTAACCCATTAGTCACTCAATTATTTCTAATTAATCAATTTTGTTTGATATAGAAAATTTACTAAATCCATAATGGTGACCAGTGTAGATAATCAATAATGGAGATAAGTAGGTCGTTTCTTAAAAATAGTAAGCTAAAACTATACAAATAAAACCTTCTGTTTTTATAATTACTTGAATAGCTCAGTGGCAAAACAGATTAGCCTCCCATCATGGAGTTTAAATTCAGACATAGCAACTATCTCTTTTTTTTTTTTTGTCTCGCTTATTTTAAGTATTTTTTTTTTTATATTTAACATTTTATGAAGTAACTTTGTTAAGTTTCAATTGGAGAACAAGATCCCAGAATTCTCCCTTTTTCAAGGTTTGTTTTATTTTTCCCAATATCATTGGAATTAATCACCACTTCTATTAACAAAGGGTTTGGCTCTGCACTTGGGTGACTGACTTGCATTGGTATTTTGTTTAAAGTTAAGAGGAACATGTCAACTTTCATGCCCATTCTTTCCTGGTAGTGCCAAGACAACTAGGAACAAGCTTCAGTGCCTTAAGTACTGTTGTTGAAGCACCAGATTGCTAGTATATAGTTCGTCCATCGTGGTTTGATGGTGACCACTTTTGTCATCCAGGGGGCTGAGGGCTTTGCACTGGGGTTTTGTGCCTCCTCATGTGGCTGTTGAGACCTATGTGAGCCCGGAATGTTCGGCTGCACAGTGGCAGGATATTCTAGCTGGAGCTAGTGTCATTGGCCATGCTTTTTTCTGTGGCGCTTTTTCTGCCAGCACTCTTCTCTTTTCCTCAGCAATTTGTGCGCCAGTTTTTACAGCGCGACGCCATGATGCTCTGTGATGTGCTTCTGTCTCCCAGGTGGCTGGGTCAATGCTGAAGGCTTTCAAAGAAACTTTAAGGGTGTCCCTGAAGCGTTTTCTTTGTCCGCCTTGTGAGCGCTTTCCTTCCCTTAATTGGCCATACAGAAGTCGTTTAGGAATGCGGCTGTATTCCATTCTGCAGACGTGTCCTACCCACGCAGCTGGGACTGCATCAGGATTGTGTGGATGCTTTGCAGACCCGCTCTTTGAAAGACTTCAGTATCTGGTATTTTTTCTTGCCATTAGACATTCAGTATTTTTCTTAGACATGTCATGTGGAAGTGGTTCAGTTTCTTTGCATGTTTTCTGTACACTGTCCACGTTTCTGAGGCATAGAGCAATGAAGGGAGGATGACAGCTCGATAGACCCCTAGCTTTGTATTTGTTGTGATACCTCGTCTGTTCCTGATATTTTTAGACTGTCATAGGATGCACTGGCCTTGGCGATACGCAGGTCGATTTCACTATCGATCTTTCCGTTTCTGGAGAGTGTGCTGCCAAGATGCACGAATCTGTCCACTGCAATTATATCATGTCCATTTATCTCGATGCTTGTATCCGAGTAGGCTATCCCAGGAGCAGGTAAAAAAAAAAAAAGACTTTGTGTGTTAATGGTAAGGCCAAAGTCTAAGTATGCTCTTGAGAAGTCACTGACGATGCTCTGCAGATCATTTTCAGAGCAGGCATTTAGGGCACAGTCATCAGCAAATAGCAAGTCCCTGATTACTGCTGATTTTATTTTTGATTTTGTTTGGGCCGCCTCGGGTTGCTAGTAAACAACTAAACCAATGAAGGCGTATAATATTACGTTTCTCACTATCCAGGCTCTCTGCAAGCTGCATCACACGATACAACCAATTAAAAAAAAAAATTTCTCAGGGCTCCAAAGTAAAATAACAGTTTAATGTCAAATACATCGCAGCCAAAACTGTACAATTGGCAACAACATAACACTGTACAAAAATTTCGCCTCTTCCGGAACGACTTCACACCGTACTGGTTCTTACAAAGTAACAATCTATATATATATATATATATATATATATATATATATATATATATATATTGTAGAGTCACTATTGCGGAACAGGCATGTTTGCGGAACAGCTCGTCGAAATTAGTTAAAATCTACTTTATTTTGAAATTTTCTGCTAAACTATTCTAACGGTACTGCGCATGGTCCATTTCTCTACATTTTCAATATACAGGTTTTCCTTTCACAGCAGAAAATTAATTTTGACTCCAGGTTAAAGTTGACAGGTGTGGAATCGTCCATTATTTTTCAAGTACCAGGAGAACCGCATAGGTCAAGGCTTAAGGCTTTTTAAAAATGATAATGACCTATCACCTGCATGATACATCTAATTTTCGGTTTATAAATAGATGTGAAAAAACGTAATTTCAAAGCCATCTACCTGAAATTCAATTTTTAAAAAATTGGGAGGTGTTTACCCAGGCTTTACCTTTTTAAAGATAGTCACAGTTGTGGAACACTATAGATGTTATTCATTTGACCTGCGCATTTAGCTTAATATTTACATAGTGATTTGGATTATCGGAATTTAAATATGAGTTTGCATTAGTATACATAAATTTAAAAACATTTAGTGAATAATATTAGATATAATATAGAAGTTATGATTACCAGACGTCCAGAAAAAAGTAGACAAATCATAATATCAAATATCATATAGACCTATATAATATTAATATAACAAAAAAGAATTTAAGAATATGGAAAATAAAACCTTGTAAGGAAACTCGAGTAGTGTGACGTCAATTACAATTAAAGAAGAGTTAAAGAATCTAAAATGTGAGTCTTAGATCTAATGTGTGTCTTTAGCTTTATTTTTTTTTTTAATGTAAAGAATAAGGAGTTCAAGTACTACATAAGACTTTATATAGGCTTTGTTCCGACATTTTTACCGTGTTCCGCAATTGTGATTTCTTAAAAAATCCTGTTCCGTAATTGTGACTGACCATATCTCAGTCGAGTTGAATTTTAAAATTTAAATATGTGTTGCAAAACTAAACAATGTGTCCATTTTTATCGGAAAATGGATGGGCAATGCCTAGGTTATTTTAGTTTTTCCAAAGTTCTAACCATTACGGAGCAAAAAATTCAAAACTAAAAGTAGCAGCAAACTGTTCCGCAATAGTGACTCTACTATAATTCTCTTCATCGCTCAACAGTTTGGACACCGAGAAGTAAAGGAAAGATCACTCTTTTATTTACTGCAATCGGACTAGAGTTACCCCACTTTAGCGGCGAAAAAAAGGAGGGAGCGGAGAACAAGCAATAAAGTAAATAGCGGGGCCGGACTTAACCATTGTGACCAAGAAGTCACGAAGATCACTCTTTTATTACTGCAAGTCGGACTAGAGTTACCCCACGTTTTTTTAGCGGCGAAAAAAAAAGAGGGGAGGGAGAACAAGTAATCTACTCTGTATTCACCAGTCACTAATAGCAGGGCCAGACTTAACCATTGTGGGACCCTATGCGAAACGGATTTCGCGGAGCCAAGTTTGGGTAGGCATACGGATAATAAGTGAAAATTAAGAGTTTGTATTAGAAAAAAAAAATGTATTTGCATTTTATTCATTCTTTACTACGTAAAGAATTTCTCTACGAGCCTTGCGTGTAGCGAAGTCATACAGTATAGGCCTATCATAAAAATTTTATTTCGTACATAGATCACTCTCAATAGTAAGAATTACCAAATGTTTCAATCTATGTATACGATAATTGTTGAACTCAAGTAATTCTTCATTAGTTTAAGGCGCGAGAAGCTTCTTTTACCAGATTCCACAATTAAGGGTATTGCATAATGCGCCGTTTTTTTTTAATCGCGCATAGGATTGGCATTTCCCATATTGAATGAAACCCCAAAATGACAATTTTTGTCCATATATTTCAAGAGATTTGTATGAGTTTTCAAAAGATTTTAATAATTTCCGGAGGTTTCTGTAACATAATAGTATTATATGTACATTTGCACACTAGCGCGTCAGTGCAACACCGCTTGTGTTTACGTAATAAATGCAGTTCCTAATATGTCTTCCCTCTTAAACACTAGTTTGTTATTTGTGTAATACAAATATTCTACATGGTGTCAGAGTACAACTTAAAAAGCTGTCCAGACAAAGGTTTTTATTAATCTAATAATGGCCTCTTTTTTATTTTGAGCAACCAATCTTGAATTGGAATGCTAAAGATCTGTATCAAGAGTTTTTAAGATTTCAACAGCAGGTGAGCTTTTGTTTCAAAGGACCGTTAGCTAGTGCCGATAGTAAACAAAATGCCGGATGGCTGGGACTGTGGATAGGTCAACAGGGCCGAGAAGTTTACACAACTCTAAATATTACTGATAGTGTAGAGGGAGATCCGCAATTGCTATTGAAGAAAATAGAAGACTACATAAGGCCAAGAAAAAATAAAAGAGTGTCTAGATTTAGAGCACATCAGAGAAAGCAGGTAGAAGGAGAAAGTTTTGATAACTTTGTTAAAGACCTAAAGCTTCTCATTATGAACTGTGAGTATGACAACCCAGACGATATGCTTATTGATTTGATTATTGGTGGAGTCATACACGAAAAGGTACAGTTAAGACTACTT